CTGGTCTCTATTTTGTAGGGGCCCTCAAAATCAGCACCCAAGAAGTTACAGCACCTCTCGTCGCAGCTGCACCAGTGCGACCCCGAGATACGCTACAAACCTGGGAAAGATATGTTGCAAGCCGTCACTCTGCCAAGAGCTTGCATTGCCACCCTCTTTCTTCCCGTTCCACACAACCAACTTAAGGAAACCCATAGAGAGAGACAACTTGTGACTAAGCCTCACAGAGCTTGGAGAAAACAACCTTAGAATACTTCCCAGATGATAAAATGATCTCTCAAAGGCCATCCATCCGAGCAATTGCAGACAAGCCACAGGCGCCTCCATAAGTAGGGGCTCCAACAATTCCTAAACAGCTAGGAAAAGCCGCAGTGCTAATACCAAGTAAGGCCCAGGATCTGTCTGTAACACCTAACAGGCCCCAAACGATGGAAGCCAGAACCGCTAGATCTAGCTGGTTGTCAAAGCCACAAAGTTCCTAGCAAGACTATGCATAAGTATAATCGAAGAAGTGGAAGTGCTTTCTCTTGCCCGGCCATTGCCATACTAACAGCACACTGCGATTCTCCGTGCCTCTTTTGTTAGTTGAGGCGAGAGACGTTTTCGTCCCTAGTTTCCTGAGTTGGAAGTTAAAATACAGGCACGTAGCTCCCTTTAAGCTAGTAAGCACGGGCTTACAAACTTTTCTCGGAATATCAGCTTTTTCTTAGAACATAATCCCGCACTAAACATACGAGGTATGGAACCTCGTGAGTTTAACATTACAAGCCAAAAATGACTTGTAATGCACCTGAAATGAATTAGCGAATATGCGTCAACTAATGACAGATTGATACTGACCAGTAAAATATATTTCCACGTTCGACAGCATTAAAACTATATGCAAAATTTCCCACTGAAATTCTTCTTGGAATAGGAGGAAACCTGTACTTTTTTTTTGTCAATGGTAATTTTTTATGTGGCCCATAAATATCTGAGATGTTTTTTATCCTTAAATGAGAAAGATCTTATCATCAATCCCTAGATTTCAAATGAGTTTAAAACGTTTTAGGGCTTACCGCTGAAATACTTAACGCGTACGCGTACACTCATCACGTCAGCGTACACATCTGAAAACTTTCCAGGATATTTTTAAATATTTTGTAGGGAGGTTGAGGGTCATATCTACCGAAGGTGACCCATTAACGGTTATATTTCTAATAAAAGAGACTTGAGATACGTGCAGCTTGAATTCTACGGAGTGACCACACATAAAGGATAAATAACATGCGATGCATCCATTTTCTAAGGTTTCTTTTTAGAAAGTTTTTTTTCAATTTGTAACGGTTAGCAAGAAATTTCCAAAATTAGAAAGTTGTTCCAAATTGAGCTTGGGGGAATTTGATGCAGATGTTTTGTGGTTTTATGCCATCAGTTATAGGTTTGAAGAAAGTTATATGTAAGGAATAACATTTCAAATACTTTGAAATAGAATATAGCATCAGCTTCATTCAACGCAATCTCTTCATTCCATTGTGGACAATTTCTTTTCACGTTGTTTCTCACTAAGATAAAAATAATATTCCATTATCTTTTCTTGTCTTTACCCATCCACCGCTCAAGAGGTCAAAACCTTAGAATGATTATTACTGACCATAAAGGCTGCAAGTTTTGCTTCAGAACGCCTGAGCAGAAGACTAACCTGCCGGTTCTCATTTTGTTCATCTCTCTTGAAGTCCTAAACAAGTTCTTTTAAACAGAAATAACCTATTAATTAACCTGAACATAGCGGTTTAATTTGCGCCTGCTCAATATATAACTTTTGATAAAAATACAAACATTTTGTGTTATTATCTCGAACTGACCCACCCTTAGCCTTTGTCAGTAACCGACCCTCAACCTCCTCTACTTCACAAATGGTAAACACCACGGCGCACACTATTGAGTTATGGATGCACGCGGGAGGTTGCTAAGCACGGAAGAAGCGTAAGAGTCGCTCGAGGCGATAGCCGAGAGCGACTTTAGCTTCTTGACTGCTTAGCAAACCTCCCAATTGCATCCATAACTCAATAGACAGACAGACAGACATCTATATTTATACAGGATAGCCCCTTCAGTGTGGTAAACACTGGTATCAACGGGGGTCCTGT